TGCGCGAGCCGCTGCGAGCCGCCGCCACCGGTGATCGTGCCGATATTGACCTCGGGCTGCCCGAACTTCGCGCTCGGCGCCGCGATGAGGATGTCGGCCAGCAGCGCGAGCTCGCAGCCGCCGCCGAGCTGTGTGCGCCGCGCGCGGGCTTGAGTGGGCAGGGAGGGAGGGGAGTAAGGGGGAGAAGACGTACGGCGTAACCGCTCACAGCGGCGATGATGGGCTTGCGGATCAGCGTGAGCTCTTGCCAGGCTTCGAGCCATTTGCCCTGGTACACATCCGCGACTGGTGCGCGCCACGGGTCAGTACAACACGCCCTCGGAGCCACGCGACAGAGCACTTACATGTCTTGTCTTTCATTTCCTTGATGTCCGCGCCGGCTACACCACCGCACCACCTCGCATCAGTGGCGTTCCCCAGAAGCACAAACGCGGCGCACCGGCAAAGGCCTTATCGCTGCCGGTGATGACGATCGCGCCGACGTCCCTGTCTGTATCGAGGAGGTGCAGCGCCTCGTTGAGCTCCGCGAAGAGCTGGGTGTTGAGCGCGTTGAGCGCCTTGGGGCGGTTGAGCGTGACGAGCGCGACGCCCGGCTCGGGCGTGCTCGTGAGGATGTTCTCGTACTGCTTGCTGAAGGCGGACATGAGGCGTGCGCGCGCGGCGAGGCTGAGGCTGGCGGGGCGGAGGGCGGCGGTGGTGGTGCGTGCGGTGAGCTGGCGGAGGACAAGTGAGGCCATATCTAGCGGCGGTGATGCGACCTGTTTTGTGGGAGGTGACCGTGTGGGTGCAGTCGTTCTGCCGAGTCGGGGTTATTAAACCACGCCCGAGGAACAAGGTCAGCGCGGCGTGCCGGGCGCGCGCACACGCTCTCGCATGTGATCATCACCTTGGGACAACGCTGCAGCGGTATGCCGGGCGAAGAGCACAGAAGATTGGAGCCTTCATTGGAGCAGCCAAGCGGCGAAGGGATGACGACACGAACAACCAACTGATTATACCATGGAAGGTCCAAATACGACGACGCGCCCAAGGCAGAACATGATGTGTATGGTATTACTACTATCCGATAGAGGGACGAGGGAGGTGAGGTGGGGTGGTTACTTCTGTTCGAAAGCTTCATAGTCCATGCGAAACGGCAGTAGACGACGGTACCAGAAAGAACGAACAATCAAGAACCAATAATAATCACTAGATTTTGTGCCATGCTTCACATCAGTGTCAATGGCATCGGAAACACGGGGCGGGTGATAGATGGGGCTCCGCGCTCAGAGCAGCTGGCGCCAGCCCGATTCTTTGGCCTTCTTGACGAGCCTCTTGACCTCCTGCGAGCGCGCACGCGTCGTCACGAGCAGTGTGTCGGGCATGTCGACGATGACGAGATCGTCTACGCCCAAGCACGCGACGAGCCGGCCGGACCCTGGTACAACGATCCCTCCCGCAACCTGTTCTGTCAAAACTGCACACGTGTCAGCAGCGGAGGACGGGGCGCAATCAGTGGGTGAAACACACCAAGGCCGCTGTCACCTAGGATACGAGGCTGATTGGCTTCCGCAGGCAGGAGTTCTGCGAGCGAAGAGAAGTCTCCGACGTCGTCCCAACCTGTTGCACCACGGTCAGATCAAGAACAAAGCTCAGCTAGAAGGGCAGATGCGTACCGAACGTCGCAGGCACAACGGCAACGCGCCCTTCGAGTGCTGCCGGCTCCGCGACCGCATGGTCAATGGCGATCTTCTCAAGCCCGGGCCACACCTCTTCGAGCACCTTTGCGCGCTGCGTCTCGTCCTCCCAGACGGCCGCGATCCTCTCCAGGCCCTCCGCGAGCTCGGGCTTGTACTCCCTGAGAAGCTCGAGCAGGAGAGTGGCCTTGGTGACGAACATGCCGGCGTTCCAGCGGTACGAGCCCGTCGCGATGTACGCCGCCGCGGTGCGCGCGTCGGGCTTCTCCTTGAAGCTCGACACAAGGCGCGCATTTGGCGCTTCGGCGATGTCGAGCTTGTCGCCCAGGCGCACGTAGCCGAAGCCCGTTGACGGGTGCGACGGCGCGATACCGATCGTGACGAGGTAGTCCTTCTGCGCGACCTGCACAGCCTCCGAGACGGCGCTGAGGAATGCTTCGTTACCCGAGATCATATGGTCCGCCGCGAACGAGCCGATGACCGCGTTGGGGTCGCGCCGCGCGAGGATCGCAGCGGCCAGCCCGATCGCGGCCATCGAGTCCTTCGGGCCTGGCTCGCAGAAGACGTTGCGCGGGAGGAGGTCTGGCAGCTGTTCGTGGATGGCCTTCACGTGCGCGAGGCCCGCGACGACGGTCAGGCGTCCTGCACCACTGAGGGGCAACAGACGGTCCCATGTTGCCTGGATAAGGCTGCGGCCCTGCAAAGTGACATCGAGCAAGAATTTGGGATGGTTCTCGCGCGACAGGGGCCAGAGGCGTGTGCCAGCCCCGCCGGCGGGGATGACAACGTAGAACCCAGGGATCTCGCGAATGGGGCCGAAGGGATAGCTTGAGAGGCCGTTGTCGCCGAGCGGCGACGGCGCGTGGAACGCCGATGTGACGGTGAGAGAGGGGATCGAGCTCGGGGAGAGGAAGGGCGACTTGGCGCGGAGCTGCGGCGAGCTCGGTGCGGGCGTGTTAAAGCCGGGGGTGCCCAGATGCGGGCTTCGCATTTGCTGTCAAGAATGATGTCGTTAGGGATCACAACGACAGCTGGAGAGACGTGACGCATACCGCAGCGACGATGCCATCTCTGACCTGGCGCTCGAGGCTCAGGTTGGCCTGGCGCAACTCGGTGCACTCCTGGCGGAGCTCAGAGATCTCTGAGCGCTGCAAGGAAGAGTCAGGGATGTTGTAGACCTGCTTGGTGACATGGATCACGGACCGACTTGTGCACGGCGTCCATGATCTGGCCGAACATGGCCTCAAGAGAGAGACCATTAGATGTCTGGGTTGTCGCTGACGAGGCGAGGGGCGTGTGTGAGTAGGACATGGCGGCGAAAAAGAGGGACGAGAAGGTGCCAAAAAGAAAAGGCGGGGGATACTTATAAGTTATAGGCAAAGGGTCGCCGGCGGTCAACGTGTCTGGTCGCCCTGTCAGTTGACGGCGTCTACTATAGTGCACGTGGCCGCCGTCGCTGCCCACCCTGACCTCGGACTCGACTCGCTCTCGCTCTCTCCTCCGACGTCGACCCGTGTCCAGCGCATCAAGCGACCTCCCGCGACTCCTGACCTCGCCCCTGACCATCCCACCAGCCTCTCGAAAGAGAGGGCGCGGCCGTGGTTCGGTGTTCCTCGGCCTGCTTTCGGCAAAAATGCTCCGTGCGCGTCGTCGTTTAGTCCAGAACGTGCCGCTTGCTAGCACGTATCGCGTCCGTCTCGCTGGTTCTTTTCGCCGCTATTACGATCACCTCGATGAGAGCCCCGACCCGCGGCTGCCGGTTGGGGCGCACCCTTCCCTAAGCGGTACTTATTAACGCAAGTGGCCCGGCGCCGAGCGCACGTTGACCTTGCGGCGACGGTTATCGAAGTGTAGCCGTCGTCGGTGATACATCCTCTCTCTAGTGATTCCTGAAGCCTCGTTGCCGTGCGTACTGGGTAGAAAGGTCCGCACTGCTGCCTCCTCTTCTTGACGCGAACAAGGCTTCCATTCGACGCTTGCCTACACCGTACTAGCACCAGCACTGCCTTTCCAGGGAATCAGCTGTCCGGTGCTCTGGATGCGGCTTTTGGTAGCCTCCGCCGCTCGCTCCTATGATGCATTGATGGCTGAGGGTGATAAGCTGGGAGACCAGCGCCAATTTTTAACGTTATCTCCACATACTAACACAGGGGCTTCTTCTCCATCGTTTGCTTGCACACACAAGTACACAAATCAACTCTATCGACGAACTCGAGACTCGACTTGACTCGACTCAGGAGCGGGAGGAGCGCTCACGTGCTGCGGTGCTACCAGACGGGTGGCGGAAGTCGCGTCGCGTCGCGTCCCACGACGTCACCATGGCGCGCAGCGTCATTTTCGGCTTGCCGAGCGAGACCAAGTGGATCTCCTTTGTGTACACTTGCGGGGCGAGGCCCACAAACACCAGCCGGCTCGCTCCGCGACAGGGGGATAAATAGCCTGCGCCCTGCGTGCCAATCCTGCATCCCAACTCCTTTCCTGAACGCCTGTCAATCGTCTCTATACTTGATCTTTCAGCCCTGAATCATGTCCAGCACTGGTGCGTTCGTCGTTTTGTTGGTGTATGCTATGTGGTGCTTATGGTGGATGGTTGAGCAGAGAACAAGGACCCCACTCGTGTTGCGGCCGGCCTCAAAGCTGCCATTCATAACCCGAACGTGAGCGACACGGCCAAGCGCGACGCACAGAACCGGCTCGAGACCATGGGCGCCGTCGAGCACCAGCCCAAGGTCGATAGCAACTCCCACGTTTTGGGTGGTTACAAGGCCACCCTGAGCAGTACGCCCGTCCACGACACGCCCCGATGTTCCTACCTCACCTATACATCATAGACAGCTCAACCTCCGACGAGGCCAAGTCTCACGCTCGTGAGGTACTTGAAGCCGCTGGCTACACCTTTGAGCGGCCGGATGACACGCCCGAGGAGGTACACAATAACCACGTCCTTGCCGGCTACAAGGCAGCCCTGCATAGTGCGTCATTCCAGCAACGGCCTTGACCTCCCACGAGGTTACTGACCGCGTTGTGACTGTAGACCCACGTGTGTCCGAAGAGGCGAAGCAACATGCTCGCGAGTATCTGCGGGAGTGTGGCCAGCTGCCTTGAACTGGAGGCGATTCGCACAAATTGAAGTTCAATCGTGTATCTGTACGATAAACTGTGGAGGTTCGACATAGCTTTGCTTCCCCCATAACACGGCTAGCTCTGTGAATCAATCAAAGCTTGTAATGAATAAAGAAGCCCGTTGCATCAACGGATACTTTGGCGTGGTATCAGTTCGTGATGTCGCGATGGCGCAACAAGCTCGGGGGAGAGATGCAAAAAAGGCGCTACCAGGGTTCGAACCTGGGTTAACGGAAGATGTCATTCAGGACAGCCCGAACAATCAGAATCCGTTGTGATAGCCACTACACTATAGCGCCGTTGGACACTGTTAATACTCCATGGCTCTCGTGTCGATGGAACGGCAGTGTGCGTGCTGACAACATCGTCCTCGGAATGGTCATGGGCTCTTCTGAGAGCCTTCGACTCTTCTCTGAGTGTTGCGCGAACTTGGTCCCAACACCATCATTCTCAGCACAATCGACGGGACCAGGTAACACACTTTTCGCACGATCCTCCTAAAGCACACAAACAGTCCTGGCACCAGGCACACGGGGTGCCCGTGCTTTATCTTATAGCAAGTCCGCTTTGGGACATTTGCAGGCACGGCCTCTGTTCAAACTGGTACTGAATTCGACGATCGCTGCTCGAGTCTGGGCACAGACCCTGCCTATCATGATCCCTGCCCAGGGCTTTTATCGAGATGCGGGTTTCGTTCACTCGTCTTCGGCGCTCTCGGTGGTTCGTCGCTATGGCTCATCGCGCCGTGGAACAAAGCTGAACGCCACCCGCCGCGATGATGCTTGTGCACCTTTCATCGTGATCCACGCGCTGTGAACATGAGGCGGATTTCACCGTGCCACTGGGTATTTTCCCGGGGATACACGTTTGCTTTGTCGTGACGTACGCCCTTTTTAAATCCTCCTCTCTGCTGACGCGCGCGCGTCGAGTGCCACCATCACCTGCATCGGGACTTGCTCCTTTGAACTTGGCTAGGCTTATCGTGTATGCGCCACCGGAGTCTCGGTGGCATGCCAGTCGCAGATCTGTGTGCACATGCTAATGCGCGCTGCACGAGTGCGGTCCACAAAGCAATGAACATGGGCGTTCACCATTCCCTTGGGCCCTTTTGTTCCGCAGAAGCAGAGATCGAGGACCCTGAGAGGACCCTGATGTAAATCCCCTTCAACGACTGTGGCGCTACCTTTGTCAACGCTACAGTGGAGTTAAGGAAGACAGTCTAGGAAGACAATAACCGGGAAAGGACGCGTACGGGGACCCGCTCCAAACACTCGTCGTTTCTGACTGGTGTTTGAGAGCCCGCAGCGCGTATGCACGCATTGAACAAGGGAGACGCCTCGTCACCGCCACTCGGAAGAGTATGGTTGTGTATCTGTTAGTCGGTGGTCCGGGACTGCATAAAAGCTCTGACCTATCCGCTCTCTCTTTCCCTCGTCCTCCCTCAAGTACTCCCGGTGGTCCTCACCGCGAGTCACGGATGCCCGCCATCCGCTCATGTCCTCCACTCCTAATCCCCTCTATGCTGCTACCCACGACCTCTCCAACGGATCTTTCGCTCTCTCTCAAGGAGGCGTGCCACCCCCGATCAATAAGCGACGCTGGGGCCCCATCCGGTCTCAGCCCAGCTCCAGTTCCTAACAAGAACCGCGATGACTTTGGCTTTGCCGGGTTCGCTCCCATCTTGGGCGACGCGGATGGCCGGGTCGGCTTGTACGGCCCTCTCGGCACCGTGTTCACCAATCGGAGGTGACTCGCACGGGAGAGAAATGGAAGGGGTTCCGAAGGCGTTCACGCACGCCCAGTCATGTGGTGAGCTCGCATAACCACACCTTGATCAGTCTTGGTCTCACTTGCGACTCGCTTCAGCAGGGTTTAGTACTTTTTGCGCAGAGCTGAAAGGAGAAGTCGCGAAACTGAACGAAAAGATTACCAAGTTGACAAGGCGTAGGTGAGCAAAGTCTTACCTGTGTTAGGTTCACATGCCCCAAATTTACCAAGCCAATAGTACTCCTCTCTTCCATCCTCAATAGCCTCGTCGTGCCACCCGACGTCGCGCCCTTGGATCTCAAAAACTTCGCCATTCCAGGCCTCAGGCCTTAATGAAGGCCCTCGATCAGCTGAAATTGGATGCGACGCAGCCCTGCAGGGGGTGCAGGTTGTGAATGCATCCTCTCCGTCCACTCGGCATCATCCACAATGTCCTACATCCCCAACTCATCCCCCCACGGTGCCGCTACCTGAGTCCTTAACCCGTGAGTTGCTCGACGCCGACTTTCCCAGCTTTGCTGACCTCCACACCTCCTAGCAAGAGTCTCGGAAGATACTCCTGGAGAGGAAGGGTCAGGTAGTGCAGAGGGTGGGTGGGTGAAGAACACGGCCGCGCGTAGGCAAGGCAAGGCGGCGGGACACCGGCGAGGCCAGGGATGCCAGGTCACAAGGGGAGAAGACCCAGCCCAGAGTGAACCTGGAGACTCCAGCCACACCGCCGGCGAGACCCCAGCATCGACAAAACAGCAAATCCAAGCCGGCCAGTCGCGGAGCGTAAGTGCTCACGAATCTGACTACACAGGGAGTTTGCCACCAGTCTCAGCGAGGGCCTTCGGCCTAGCGGAGATTGGCGGTGAGCCCTGTGCTGGTACCGCCGACTTGGAAGTTTTACGAGAGAGAAGAAGAGGCGCAGCTGCATGCAGCCGGGAGGGAAGGCTGGATACGAGTCGTGGGGATTGCGCGGAGCGCGATTGTCGTCTTGAGACGCTGGGACGACTCGTCGAGTCTCGTTGATATAGCGCTTCGGTTGCCCGTTTGTTTGTTTCGCGGGCTCGATAGAGTTCGGTGCATGTACCGCGACATCGAGCCAAGGACGATTGCTTTGTCTACTTATACATGGTCTTTCTATTTCGAGCCGCGTCTGTCTCGCTGTTATATATTGCCAGAGCAGCCTTTGATTAGCTGAGAACGGATGAAGTTGTGGATGCGCACCATGTTCCTCCACTTCATAAAGCGATCCTCTCTACTCGGATGCTTGCCACTGGAACACAACTGGCGACGATATGCCCGTTTTTTTTTACTCGCGATGGCTTGCGTGGACGCAGCTCACGACGCTTGAAAGCTGGACAGATGCGCGCAGGCGGAATCGAGAAGATGTTTATCGACATCGATGGAAGGCGATTAGAGAACAGAAAGTTCAGGACGCGCGGCGCACGTTATCATATTCGCTTTACTTTGTTCAGCCAATCGTCCGAACTTCGTCCATCGTAAGTAACACTGACCGCTGAGGATCGCCCAAGTTAAGGCAAATAGAAAGGACCTCGTCCATAGTAACTCAAGGGTATCACACCGGCCCCGCAACGACGTCTTCCGGGAGCCCCAAATTGTGCCGCGAGGCAGTCAGTGGGCATAGGTGAGCACTGCCTCAAGAACATTTGCATCACGCAACGATGTGGGAGACCGGCCGGGTACATAAGAATGGGCCCTTGAAACAACGGTCCGAGTCGAGTTGAGGCCTGGGACATGTCAACTTTTGAGTTCACGCGCCGCCTGTCGTCACGCGTCACATATCGTACTCCGCGCTTCGGACTTCCACCGTGTCGTCTCGTTATTTCATGCTTCATCCTGCCAAAAGTCCCAGGCGGTCGACCTCACTATATCTCTTCTGATTTTCCGACCGACTCCAGAGCGATATTATGTAGATCGGTTCTCAGAAGTTGCTGGCAGATACCCGATGACTTTCCGGACCGCGCTTAAGGATGACTGTCTCATCTGGCGCGTGATATGTTCTACATATCGTGCCGTCCTTGCGAGGCTCGGATGCACCCCTGCGAGACAGACCGCGGCGTCCCCACATGTAACCGTGTTTCTCGGTCCATGCGAATGATTTGATTGCGGCGTTGCCTTGCACCCCGCAATCGATAGTAGCATACACTACGGCGCGCCAATTACGGCGAAGGCCTGAGGTGGTCGAGATCAGCTGTAGCAGATGCAGACTCTCAGGAGCTTTGTGCACTCCGGATGTTCAGGCTAGGGCTCTGGGCATCTCTGGCAATAATCGGTATACGTGGTCTGTGACGCAGAGACAGTGCTGGATGCGGTGCGCGGAACCCGTGAGCCCTCAGAGCCAGTCACAAGTTGGTCTGGACGATCTAACCGGCGTGTAGCGGCCTCCATTGGCCAGGTAAAGAACTGAGAAAGTATTTACATTAAAGCCAGCCGAGGTCTGAGCTCTCTACCAGCGAATGTCAACATCCCCATACTTGGCCACCTCGTCAATCCAACTCCTGGCTTTAGGTCCCGAGTCGTCGGAGTTATGCTCGCCCACGGAGTCGCTGCCAATATAATCGTCTGAATCACTGCCAAAGTCGAAGTTGCCTATCTCCGAGATGAAGACCGCTGGCGGTTGTAGGGAGACATCGCGATAAGACTTGAGCCAGTCCAGTAGCACATTCTTGAAGTGGCGCTCAGAGCCCGGCCTCTGGGAGTAGTAGTGCATAGGGCTGAGCCGCACCGACTCAAGCTTGTGCCAGGAACGGAGCGCATGGGGCGTGCACTCTTCCAGGAACGACACAGCGAGGTCCTCGGAGAGGTACAACTCCCGCACGTCCGGCAGGCTGAATGCGACTTCGCGCCAGATTGAGATATCCCACTCTATGTTCGGAAGGTCGATTGAGAGGACACGCATAGCGCGCCGTGACGATGCGGGCCAGAGCCCCGCAGTTAGGAGGGTGAATGCGGTGAAAGCGTTCCCGGCGAAGTTGGGGACAGAAAGGTACAGGGGCAGCGTGAGCGAATCCCTGTGATAGGAGAGCGGGGTAGGGTAGTCAGGGTTCGGTCCTAGATCGCGGGCACCTGCGAGCAGGAGGGTAGATGGGAATCGGTACCGCACGGTATCCAGTACTACTTCGAGGGTATCGATTTTCCACACCGGAGTGTGCGCCTTGGCGAAGTGCTTCTCTAGTTGCGATACAATCCGTGATTCCATGGAAGGACCACCCCAAGAGTCCGATAACAAGATAGTGAGACGCGCGTTGGGAACGCGCAAGCTACCAAAGACATCCAAGCATTCCGTGGCGGCATCTTGTAATACGAGCGTCTTGAGTGTTGGAATTTTGATCGTACGCGCAGCCTCGCGCGGCAGCTTGCGTGGAAGGCAGAAGTTAAGATGGAGCGTTTCGAGGTGAGCCATGCTTTCCAAGACGGATAGCAGCTGATCGTATGAGGGTCGCATAGAATGTTCATCCTTGTCCTTGTCCTTGTCCTCATCCTCGTCCTCGTATTCTTCGTATTCTTCGTCAGAAGCAATGTA